ATCTTTCCTCAAAGTAGTGAGAACGACAGACAATATACATTAATAGACACAGTTTTAGGTAATAGTGGCCCACAGCTGATTAGCAGAAGTATTTCAGTAAGACAGTAATAATGTGAGTTAACCAGTTAGCAGGAGACCAACACAATATCAAACTCAAAACTAAGTATTTTGAACACCATCTTTCAAGAGCCAGCGGTTTGCGAATCCTGCATTGAACTCCGAGATTTGAGAAGCAGTCGACAGTAAAATAAAGGGAACACAGCAAAAGTTTAGGATTATATACTGCTGTGATATTGTGGTAAAGATGAATTTTAACCACTGATTCTTCACATGTTCGTCCTTGGGCTTTACCTTCACATTGTAGAGCACAGCGTCTTCTCGACATGATTTGATTTTTACGTGATTTTTGAGGGGGTTCAAGTTTTCCCTGGTGTCTGCGTGCGCAATAAGTGGGCGGGCAATATGCTAACGTTTCGTCTTGACGCCACAACGAAACGGCTTATGACTCGTTTGAAAAACGATTCATTTCGTTGACTCAGAGTTGACTCTCTTACTTTTGAAAGACAATAACTTTATATACGGTGCACTTTCAGATTTAAAACTTTGCAGGATGTTTTCATTCACTTAGAGCTATGTTACACACTACATGAAAATTTCCATAATAGGGGCACTTTAATAAGCATTTTTTTAGTGGATCAAAAACATACAGCGCAATCAGTGTAGTGTAATTTCCAAACAAAAGATGCTTATGAACGATTCTCTTCAGTGAATCAAAAACATACAGAGAAATCAGTGTAGTGCAATTCCTGATTGAATTATTATTTTTAGTGAATCAAAGTCTTAAAGCACAATCTGATTCCGGAATGGATGGCTGCAATGAGTCAGTTCTGACTTGTACTGGTACTGACTGGTAGTTTATTTGACATTTAGTTAAAGATGCACATGATACATTTTGTCAGTAATGTTTTATAACAATAAATAAATTAAATGTAACCACTTTTTTATTTTAATATAGCCGCCTCTTATATAGTTATGGCCATTATTAAATTGCATTTATTCCACCTCAAAAAGTCAACTTTTTTGTAAACATACCTTTTGTAAGGATACTTTATTTAATATAAAATATAAATAGAATTAGAGTTTCCAAATACTTATTCCTTAAATATTTTAAACGAATAGTTAAGTCATTAATGAACCAGCATTAATGGCTGACTTTTTGGTTTAAAAAACATTGTTCAACTAGCAGTTGAAAGAAAATGTTCAGGTGTTGTACAATGTGACGCTATAAGGATTAGCAGTTCATTGCAGCATTTCCATAAACCTTATCAGCCATTTATGAAGAAAGATTGATCATGAATGCTCTCAATTCAATGTCTACAACCCAGGACTAAGGCATTCAGAAGCATGACTAAGGCAATCATTTATTAATTTGTCAAGGTAATATTTCTTCAGCTAACGATTCTCTGCAGATGGAGGAAAAAGTCAAAAATCTTAAAACTACACTCAATTTGTATTCTAATAGGCCTACCCCATGTCAGATTAACAAGAAAAGCCCTGTCATGCAACCACACGTACAAACCTGTCTAAAGTTATATTGGCAAATATATTAGGGGTTCGAATATGGAATCTTAAAGAATTTGATTGACTTTAATTGAAAATGAAGATCATGTGTGGTAGAGTCAAATGATTAATTGATATTCAATGAAAAAAATTAATAATTCCCAGTGGGAGAATTTTTTTTTATATCATATGATCTATTAGTCAACAAATGGGTTCACTCAACCTGACTAATTATAGTGCTATGGTTACCTTAGTACTTTGCTCTGTAGTACAGAAGAATAAGTGACACCCCATATCAATTCTTCCACTGAGTAAAGTCCACAATTGATCGAGTAAATCCAATAACATGCTGAAGTCTGAAACAGGATCGAAATTTCAGATCCTGTAGACCTATTAGATTAGGTCAAACCACAACATTAATCTCACAGCTGTCACTGAGCACTTACTATGCATGGAACTTCATCAAGTTATTACCTGACTCTTCCATGCTGTAGTTCAATGTGGAGTCAATTTGCTTTTCTTAAAAGAGATAAAGGATTCCATAGAGGCGGAGCCCAATTAGCCTTGAGGTTAACAATGTAAGAATAACTACCCTTTCTCCTAATGGCCTATTAGCACAGGAGTTTGGCGAGTGTGTCCAGAATGCCTATAGATGTCTTTGGACTAATGCTCTTCTATAGACTGACAAAGACACATCTTACGTCAACAAAAAAGGGCAATGTCATTAAAATTAAGGCTAGACTCTTTAAAATCTCAATTGTTTCTTCCAGACAGTGATGAGATTTCGATATGAACTTGTTTGAAATATGAAAGCATGTCTCATTCAATTTTTCCTAGACCAAATGTTCAGGGCTATGTTATCAACATTACATTTGAAGATACTTTAAAGCTGCAGTAGGGAGTTTTTTTTTTAGAAAACGTTGACTTAGCCTGAAAATTTGAACAAGCACAACTTACAGGTCCCACCCCCTTGCTCTCTGCTGCGCTACAGCCCTCCCTCCACAGCTCGTCCTCCACAGCGGAGCCTGTCGTGAACGCACAGGCTAGTAAACAGGGCCACCGATGACGGTGGATAAAAAGTTATATGGCACATTCACTAATAGGGACTAAACGTCAATAATATGCTTTACATTGACTATGGCCTGCCCATACTTTGACTACAAACTTGGTCCTCAAATTATTATGTATTTTCCAATAGCCTACATGTAACTTTATAACATTGCACTCTTTCTATAAGTTATAAATAGCTAGTAAGATAACGTTAATATAACGGTAACTAACGTTACAGTATGCAAGTAATTATTCTAGCGATATATAATGCTAGATAAGGTGTGCTAGCACATTATTTCAGCAACATGACAAGCCAGTGAATTAGCAGGTTTCAATTGTTGCTTAGCAGAGTGCGTGACATTTTATCCACATGTTATGCGGCTAGAGTTTTGACACCGAGTCAATGGGCTCTGTGTAATTCTTTCTTTTTCGCTTGTTTATCGTCATCAGTCTTTTTCCCTTTACCTCTTTGTTTTATGAGCAGGTGTCACTCGAGAATTGGCAGTTTAGGTTGTTTCTCCGCCATAAGCACAGCTGCAGCACGCCGGCAATCTTGAGTTTGAACGACGGCTCGCGCAACGCGCTGTGCAAGAGAGGCGTGTGATCAGCACGTACACGAGCGTGATTGACACTGCTAAGACATTCCTCCTGGCTCTGATTGGTTGTTTCTGACCGGGAGCGTGTATTTCTTGCAAATGGCAATAGGACCACTGGGAGGAGCCAGAGGAGCTTGATTTTAACACAGATTATCTGTCTCATATTCTACTGTCAGGACATAATGACAGTTTTAGCAAATACATGTTTTCAAAAGTTACCTACAGCAGCTTTAAGAGACAAAGTTTATACCTACATAAAATGTACCCTATTTTATACAGTACTTTTAATAATCCATCCATCTATCTATCTGTCCGTCTGTCTGTCCGTCTGTCTGTATCAGGGCCTGAAATTAACACCCGACCACCTGCCAAATGCGGGTGAATTTTGCTATTGGCGGGTAACACTGTCAATCTACCTGCCACATTGGCGGGTAGCCAATGAGAATTGAGTGATTCATTAGGGTTTTTTTTTACGTTTTCGTTTTCATTTTCATTGCGTTGGACCTTAGCTATAATGTGGCGGCACATTACTGGGGTAAAAAGGCCAGCTGAAACAAGCAACCAACAAAAAGATGAGGATGAGTCAAAGAAACGGCAAGGTTCGTGAGCGGCTGATTTATGACAGCGACTGTTGTTTCGTAACGTTCATGCGATCAGAAAGAAGATGAGGCCCTTTTCTGACTACGTTTGGATGTGCCAGTATTGAATTGTTGGTGAGATGGGATGAGATAATGTAACGCTGACGTAGGCTCCAGAACAATGACAGTTGCACAGATGTGTGCGTGTGCAACTGTAGTACATGTTGGGAGTTGGGAACCGGTGAGAAAATGTCCGGTACCCGGTAACTTTACCAGTAATAATATTAATTTAGTTCTGCTTAACGGTTCCTGAACGCTGTAACTAAAAGCTGTCAGGACCTAGCTGTCTACGTGACTAAATCAGCCATCAACACAGCCACGGGTGATTTGTTTAACGTTACATACGAGCTGCGGTAGGTCTATAGATCTGTTGTGCGTGTGTGTGTCAAAATCAATGAATAAAAAGATTTTTTTTAAATGTATATTCTAAGAGTTATTATTACTTATATTGATTTCGTTAATAACTTGACAGCACTTAAATGTGTACAAGTTAAAGAACAATATTGTGAAATTCCCGTTTTTCACCTATGAAAATGAGGCAAAAAAAAAAAAAAAGGCTGGTAAAAAGTCTCTGTGGCAGGTGAATTTTGATATCCACCTGCCACAGTGGCTGGTGGCCAAAAAAGTTAACTTCAGGCCCTGGTCTGTATGTATGTATTTATATTCAATTCATGATTTTTTTAACATACAAAACCAAGCTCTCTTATAATTCCACTCCTGCATCCTTCCATCACTGTCATAGAGACAACAATCTACTAGATGTGCTTGTCCACCCTGATATGGAACGGCCTTTTCACAATCCTGTTGAAATCAAATTCTGATAGATGCAATGAAGTCCTGTACGGTTTTTTTTTTCTCATTCCTGTTTCACTCAATGTATAGAATTAAATAAATTGTGTATGCAAATTCATGTTGACTTTAAGCTATAAAGGACAAACCTGAGCATTAAAGTTTAACTCTGAGACATGATGCAACTTTACCATAGCTACAACTGGTGCTGATTGATCATATAGTATTTAAACATACAAAATTGAAACATTAAGAAATTTATCAAGTAGGTAGAAAAACAACAGTTAAAAAAAAGAGGCTGATGAAACCTTATGAGATCTCTATGTAACAGCCACTGCGTCTGTGTGGGGGAAGAATGTCAGCTCACCTGATGCAATGTCCACCCGCATGTTCTTCTGCTGGGTGACGTTAATGTGCGCTGTGACTTTTCCCTCGTTTAGAGCCAATTCCAGCATTCCATCTGCCAAGGAGCTGAACAGGAGCAGGCCGCTGGGGTTCCAGGAACGGAACTGGAATCCCACAGACACCATATTGTGGTCCCTCCTCCCCGGCAGCTGCAGAAAGCTTGTGCCATTGAAGAAGACGGGGAACGTGTGTGTGTCCACGCAGGAGAACGTCAGGTTGCGCTGAAAATAAGGCAGGATACAAAACAATCACTTAAAAGCCATTTATGTTGTTTAGAGTGTAGACGGTAAACAACTGTTTTCTTTATAGCATGCATCAAACATGATATCACTTCTTAAAAATAAATCAGGTCTCCCAACATGGCCAAGATAGTTATGCTGGTCCATTTTGAGGCTTTTAAAGGGGCGTTAGAAGTTTTAGACCTTTTTAAACCAGGTAAGACCAGCAAAGAACCTTAGATCAGCTGTTTTTCTTGCAAAAATATATGTCTCTTTTCAACAGCAAATTCAACACAACACACTGTATAATGTATTTCTCAAATGCAACATCTTTAATACACTTACAAGGCTGCAAAATAAAGTGACTAGAAAATAAATCTGGGTCTGAAATGGTTGAGGACCTTTCATGTGGAACATGGGCTTAAAGAAAGATCTCTCAAAGTGCTGCGACAGCATGTTCACAACCACGCCTTCGATTTCTGAACCTTAAGCTGGAAAAGGGGTGCATGGAAACAACGACGAGGGCTTTTATTCATAACTCTCCAGCTCTACGTCCTTCTAAATGGTAATTTGGAGGCACCGAATGCACTTCAGCCTTATTTCAAATATAGAGAACTTAATCAGTCTCATCACAATGAAATAGAAAAGTGCACTCAGCCTTTCACAGCGCTTCATAAGAGAACCTCCGCCCATGCGTTGTTTCATCAACCTTGAATATAATCCTTCAGACATGAATAATAATTCAGAGCCTGTCTATGGTGGACACATGTCAGAGAACTGTGCTATTTACACGCTATTAAAGGGATAGTTCAATCAAAAATGAAAATTATGTCATCATTTACTCATCATCATCTGTTTCCAAACCTGTATGACTTCTTTTCTTCTGTGGAACACAAAAGAAGATATTTTGGAAAATATCTCAGTGGTTTTTGTCCATAGGGTCCAATGACGTTCATTGATTTTTTGTGCAGAGAAAGAAAGTCATACAGGTTTGGATATTCCCATATTGGGGCGAGTAAACGATAACAATTTTTATTTTAGGTTTAATTTTTGCCTCCTAAAATACAGTACAAGCTTGATCGGTTTATTTGTCAAAATCTCTAGTACAAAAATATGTTAATCTAATTCAAATATTTTATTATTTACCATAATGCTTGACTGATGTTCTATGACATGATGTGCTGGTGTAACTGTACAGCAGAGATAAAATGTTATGTATCAGAAAAAAAGCATTGTGTCTCTTTATGTTTGTGGTTGCATTAATGAATCACAGAACACTGATATGCTTATCGGATATGATGTGCAATTATTGCATTCTTTGTAATATCACAGTCAGTGGAAATTAGATTATTATCAGTGCTGACAACAGTCATCAAATCCACATAGATGATTAACATTCCCATCAGCATGTTGTAACAAATTAAACGGAACCATACAGCAGAGATATGAGGTTTTTAATGCAAGCTCCATCAATATCACGTCTGAACCGCTATACATTCAGAAGTGTCAACCTTTCACAGCTCTTCATGGTCATACACCTCCACAAAAACCTCCAGGCAAAAACAATCCAAACATCCAAACATTAAATATGCACATACTGTCATAAACGAGAAAGTTATGCAATCAAAATCAAACTGATCAGTAAGATATGGTCCGTGGTGTTGATTGAAAGGGGAATCGACTCACAAAGCTGGAGGTGTCAAGTTTCTTTCTTCTGGCCAGGTCAGTGATGTTCTCTCCATTGTAGTTGATGCTCTCCATGCAGCCTTTGAAGTTTCTTCTACCTCCTGAGACTGGCTTCCCAGAATAAGGCATCCCTCCGAAAGTCAGCTGCATGGAGAAATCAGACAAAAAAACTTAGAGACATAAACCAGAAAAACTGTATCAAAGCATTTCAACCCACCAAGTTCAACACAACAATATATACAGAGTGTGGGGAAAGATGTGCCAGTGGTTAAGCCAAGTCACCTCCTTAACCACTAAACCATGCACAATTTGTTTTTGTTTTTATCACATTAGAAAATGTGTTTTTGGATGTAAGAGTCAATTTTGCACATCTCGGTTAAAAATGTATTTTATTTTTTTGTCAAAGCAAATTATTGCAGGTCTAAATAAATGGCATGCATGTTGGTGAAATGCCAGTGCAAAAAAATATGTAAATTATTCAGATAAAAATATGTATTTATTAATATTTACTTTAATAATGAATAATTATTTTTATATTTAGTTTTAAATTAAAATAGTTTAATTAGTAAATAATTTCCTTGCTGGTTTATGAAAATGTAATGTGCAGCAAAATAAGATTTTGTTAATGGGATTGTGCATTAGTAAATGCACTCCCCTCCCCCTCATTTACGTTTACATGTTATTTTGAAAAGTAAATCATTCCCAAATTCTCCAATGATACAAGTCCCCCCTTGACATGACACAGTTTACCCCTAATGTTTTGTCACTTCTTGATACTTTTTTTGGGAAAGATTCATACTTTGATGGCCCTATTTTCAAATTCGATTCATAATACATGTAAATTTCGTTGAAATATGATGGTGAAATATAATTAGGATTTAACTATTACCTCTCTTTCATTTCTACTTCCCTGGGAACAACAGAAGTACAAGTGGAACATCTTACCCCAATCTCCCCCTACTGTATGTCAAGACTGCATATGAGAAGAGGTGCAGTCATATAAACACATCCTGCTGTTTAAGCCACAACCAAAAAACATTTCACCTTGTGACAATGGAGTAAAATTATACATATTTTGTAAAACCAGATAATATCTAGCGATTGAAAGATGCTTAGTAAATACTATTATACATGCAGTTTCAAACAGAGTGCTAGTGCTTCAACACAATAGTCGATAAATGCAATTGTTTGTAAATGGAGCCTGCGCTCCAGCAGAAAACGACACACCGGTTTGGATCCATTCTTGGCTCAATTAATCAGACACTTTCACTTTAATTGGGGTCAATATGTCTCAGACCAACTGAGCTGTAACTAGCCCTATAGCATCCAATGGCAACAGGAGCGTCTGAGCTCAATTGAATAGATAAGGATTTGCTCTCACACCATATTCTTTACGTAGCTGAAAATTAATGTCTAATACATTCCTCTACAGTGCTTGTTAATGCGCGTCATTTCTGTTTGATAACAGTAATATCCTGCTACATATTATTAGTGTGGATTAATCCTGTGTGGAGAAGCGGATTCAGACGCTCTGTGCTGAAAAGAATAACAAGGGATAAAAATCCCACTGCAAACACAGTGAGAACCTCCCTGGGACAAAGTGTCTTGGTTTGACATCACGGCTTTGAGCTTGAGATCTCTGGATTTGGTGACGGCAGCAGTGTGACCGGAATAATACAGAATAAAACAGATAATTACAGAACAGTGCTTTCAGTTGTTTGCCTTCTGCGTCAAATTAAGACGCATTTAATTCTTTGCATTTGTAAATAAGAAAATAATTTTATAAATATATCTAGATTTTTATATATATATATTATGGAGCAACTAACCCCACCCTTACCCTAAACCTACCGACTTCTCATCAAACACGTAACAGGCTCTATGTAACAAGTGGCAAGTATAGTCAAAGATGCAAAAACTGACCCAAAAACAGTATAAACGCATTACAAACAACACGTGTTGTGTTCCAAGTCTTCTGAAGCCATACAATTACTTTATATGACTTTTATATTTTCATACTTTTAATCGATGAAAATGATCCAGGTCAGTGATATCTCATTCAAAAGATACACCCAAACTACACCCGATGCCATTTCACAATCAAAGCTGATGTAATGCTTCTTCTTAATGTGTGCAGAGGATCTGAGCTTGACGATGGATGGAGACGGTGATCGCTTTTGGGTCTGTTCCTCACACAAATCAATCGTTTGGTCTGAACACTTGTAATATTGTACTTTTGAACAAATTGTCGTATCTGCCTGATATATCCTGTGTTTTATACTATATAATACACAAATGGGTAGTTTTGTTCTGACCAAGCATCAATATGTGATGAGTTAGGAGTCAGACTGTGTTGGTTCTTGAATTCTATTCCATGTCTTCTGAAGCCATACAGTATTAACAAACTGGAACTTTGTTTAAGGAACAGACCAAAATTTAATTTTTCACTGTGAATCTTCTACTGTAGGTCTCAAATGAAATTTGATGTCAGACAAATCACGTCTGGCAAGATTTTTACTAAATAATGACTTACATTTCAGCCTGTTCCCGCACAAAGCTACTGTACCATATGACTTCAGAAGATCTATATAGTTCACAAGTCATATGGACAGCTTTTATGATAATTTATGGTGATTTTGTATCATTTTGGAGCTTGACAGCCCCAGTACCCATTTATTTTTCGTTCATAGGACCCTCTTGAAAATGAGATGATGCATCTCAAGAGGCTATCCTTTAATAAATTCAATACAATTCAATTCAATTTTTATTAGATGTCAAACACCATAGAGCAGTGTTTCCCAACTTCCCAACTGTTTTGTAGCTTTATACATGGTCAGATACGTGCATGTGTCATTATAATATTAACATTTTATAAAAATCAAGCTCAGATGGAGAGTTACGAGGCTTTTGACCAGCAAATGATAGATTTTTTTTTGCCCGTCAGTTGAATGGCCGCATCTGAGACAGTCAGTGCATTGTTACGTTTTCATCAACTTACAGGTCATAAAGGTTATTGTATCTATGTGGTCGCTGAGTTTTTCTTGTTGTTGAATGCATTTGGACAAAATCTCATGACATAAAAGATGAAGCGCTATGCATGTGTTAAAACAGTATATTGGCTACAACTAGACGGCAAATACCAGACTAAGACTCCGCTCTTTAAATATAAAAAAACATTAGCCTTTAAAGACGGTGTTTATTGAGTTATTCTGTACTTATTCAAACACTGTACTTATTCAAACATTAGTTCTTTATTTACCTTTATATTGCAAACAAGCAGAGATCTCCAAACTGTGCGGCACTTCATTCACCATAGCGGCAGGTGGAGTTACGAGGTTTGACTGACAGTTTAAGGAGCCAATGAAGTTACGAGGTTTAGTCACTATCTCTTTTATATGCTTTTCATTGGTTAAAAATTTGTAAAACCCACATACAGAGGTAAAGGATGACCAATAGCATTGATTTTTAAAAATAAAATAAAACAAAAATGACTACATATAGATACAAGTTTTCCGCCTGACAGCAACGCTTTTCTTGTAGCATTTAATTAATTTATTTTATTTTATTTTTTGGCATTTAATAATTTTCCATGACACACCTGACAGCCTGTCAAGGCACACAAGTGCACCACGGCACAGTGGTTGGTAAACACTGCCATAGAGGATAATCTTCAAAAATGAAGGAAGTCAAACAGGTTTGGAAAAACATCTTCAATATAGGTGCACTATACTTTTACCAGCAATACTGACTTGGTGAAAAACATGGTTATGTTGGTTTAAATAACAGAATAACACCAAACCAGCACTAAATAGCATAAACCAGCTTGGACGGCCATGGAAATTCATGATTTTTATCAGCAGGGAATTCTCACAATTTTGCCTGTTCTTTGTCACAGCATTCATGCGGTTTTATCTTTGTGAGATTCATCTTTTCCAAGGACAATTATCAACTTTAAAGACTTACCAGTTGTGGGGAGTAGCATTTTGAGCTAAGGCATCCCATAATGCACCTGCTTGTTAAATGAAGTTCAGAGCAATAAATCATTCACTTTCTCAGTCGTACCTCATAGTCCAGGTCAAGGTGGTCAAACTCCCCGTTGGTGCGGAAGTGCTGAGTATGCTGATCAAGGGTGAAATTGACATTTCTCCTGTAGCGCTCAATTACTACAGAATGCCAATGATGATCGTCCAGCAGACTGCCGCTGGTCACAGATGTATGGCCCAGGATGGAGCCGTACTGATTACTTCCTAGAGTTTATTAGACATGGGAGACGGTCATTAATATCAAACATACAATATCTTCACCTTCACTGCAGAATACTTATTGATAGGAGGAACCTGTCTTCACAGTGCATTTGAGATGTTTATGTCCTTATGATACACAAGATAATGGGTTTTGTGTTTTAGAGTCTATCAATATTTCTTTTCCCTCAGGCTAGGTTTTCCTGCAATGCAGGTCCATGGGATATTAAACATATAGTTCACGTAAAAATGAAAATTCTGTCATCATTTACTCACCCTCCAAACTGTACGACTTTCTTTATTCAGTGGAAAATTCAATGAAAGTCAGCGGGAACGAGTGTCGTTTTAGACCCCACTGACTTTCACTATATGGGCAAAAACATTCTTCAAAGAACTTTTTATGTTCTACAGAAGAAAGTACGCTATACCATTCAAAAGTTTAGGGTAATATTTGTTTGTTCATTTATATATGCTCACTAAGGATGCATTTATTTGATCAAAAATACAGTAATTGTGAAAACAATTTAAACTGCTTTTTAATTTCACGAGTTCACACTTACATACAATTAGAGGGAGTAAAGTTTAATGCGTATTTGGCATGCTATCCGGGGGGGAGGGCTCCGAGTTTGGAATTCGTGATGATCTTCCTGATGTTGTGCAGTGAAAATCTGCATGATGCAAGGATCCAATAATATGATGATTGGGTGCTTATAAAATATTTATTATAATTATCAATGTTGAAAACAGTTGTGCTGCTTGATGAATAGAACAGCATTTACTTGAAATATAAATATTTTGTAACATAATAAATGTCTTCCCTTTTAAAAAAGAAGCTTTTTGAATGGTTGTGTTAGTCATACAGTTTGGCAAATACATGAAGGTGAGTAAAGATTATTATTTAAATAATCAATGAGGATCAAACAATCAATGAAAGACCACAGTCAATAAATAAGCTAAAGACATAATGATATACTTACAGTAGCACGATAATGACATAATTCGCACCAAGGCACACACACATATCAGTTTTACCGAGGTTTATCTGCAGCAGGAGCCGGCCTCTCCTCAACTCCAGTGTGATGTAGTCCCCCTGTTGGCCCTCTCCGTGCAGAATCACCCCTTCGCTCTCTGATGCTTTAAACTTCAGGGCTATCACGTCCTTCAAAATCTTCATCTTCTTCATTTTGAAGCGGTAAGAGATCACCCCCTGCCCGTCAAAATTAATCACATCAGCCCCTGTTGACAGGAGGAAGAAAGACAGGAGAAGGAAAGGAGATTAGCACCACTGAGGTGACTGGATGTCATGCCCATTTTTGGCTAAATGATCGGTTGAGTGACTGTTCTATAGATTGCTTGGGCGAAAGCATGGTGAAATTCACAGATAAACTGCGGCTGGGATCAGGTGATAAACTACAGTGAGGAGGCAGAAAATTGCAGCTGGCTATTACCTGCTGACAAAGCCTTTCTGCTTATTGCGCAGTGGAGGAGGATTTTTGATCCCTGTCATGGCTCGGAATGATGCATACCGGAAGTTATGAATGTAGATTCCCTTTGCTGCGTCTCTCGCTCGGTCTCTTGGTTTCATCTCCTACACTGACACCACATAACCTTTGTATATATTGCACAAGCTCACAGTTCCTGATGGCACTTGATTGCTTTGCAGACTGTCTTTATATCATTCGGAAGCCGTGTAAAATTATGAGCAGGTAATTATGGAAAGATCTCTACAGCAAACTGGAAAAACGAAAATACAGACGTGATCGTGTTCCCTTCCACCAGTAAGATTGAAGTGGCGTGTTTATTCTCAAGCTTTATTGAGAGATTGATTGGGTTTGATCTGAGCTTAATTAAAATGTAAATGATGGTGTTGATTTTGCGGTAGGGTTGTGAATGCATTAACTTTGGACTAAAAAGGTTTGGTACGTCAGCAATAAAAAGGAAATTACTACTTTCATTAGAACCCCCCCCCCCCCCCCCCATGTCTTCATGAGAAATGCAATCTGCTGCCATATATGCACAGTTATGTAAAAATAGTTTAGTGTGTGTAAAAATAAATACACATTCATAATTATATAAATTACATTTAAAAATATATAAAAATAAACAGTTATTTTTAAATACAGTGATGTTTCACAATATTACTGTTTCAAATAAATGCAACAAACTCAAAAATGTTTTACCAACCCCAACATTTTAAACAGTAAAGTATACATATCATAATTAATACACACACACACACATACAAAGCGCATATATTATTTTTTATATTTATTTTTAAATTCCTTGTGGTTAAGCTTACACCATATAAATTATACATTTAATAAATAATCATATAAATAAATAAATAAAACATTTTAACAGAAAAGACAGAATTCTATTCTGTTTCGGGTCTACAGTAAGTGTTTTTTTTCCCCCCAAGTCAGTCAGCGAGTACGATATTTCTTTCCACGATTAAATGGATCGTTCATGCCTTGTATGCATTCCTGAGGCATGTAAAATCAATGTGCATTTATCGGCTTCCATTAGCAGTGGAAATTACAAAATGACGCAACAACTGTAATTGTTCTACATGGAAAAAGCGCGAGAAAATATGCATTCTGTGTAATCTGTCATGTGCATAACAACCAGGGGATGCCTGTAGTATATAGTGTCTACTGTGATCTTGTGAGTGTGTGTGTGTGTGTGTGTGTGTGTGTGTGTGTGTGGCTGTGGGTGTGTGTCTAGAGTATCTGCATGTGGCATTAATTCAATTCTCTCCATGCACCCTGCTGGGGACTGATTACTACACTAATGCATGAGTATGTGTACTGTGTCTGGCCAGTTGCTCTACCACTCCTCTTGTCTCTCTCTCTCTTTCTCTCTCCATTGCCAATCCCCTTCACCTCCATCACGAATGCATTCATCCGTTCTCGCCCGATCAACAAGGTCACAGCACTGCATTCATTCTCATTCTGTGCTTCATCTCCACTGCAGGACTTGCTTATCTTACTCCCATTCTTTCCCACTATGCTTTCTGAGAAGGGCTATCTCTATTCCTTTACTGCACATCTTATTTATTTTCACGCAACAGTCAGTGCATTTCCGTGTCTGAAGAGAAACTGAGTGGTGGAAAAAGTGTTTTTGTACATATTAATATGTCCCTGTGGGAAAATTGTTTTGGACACATGGTAACTAGTCATTAGCTCATTTGCTGGTTTGAGATTGTCATTACTTGGTTCAAGCTTATCAGTGTTAAAATGGTTAAAGAGAGTCATTAGCTGGTTCAAGGTGGTCATTAGCTGGTTTAAGATGGTCCTTAGCTGTTTCAAGCTGGTTATAGCTGGTTTAAGATGGTCATTAGCTGGTTCAAGATGGGCATTAGCTGGTTCAAGATGGTCATTAGCTGGTTTAAGATGGTCATTAGATGGTGCAAGCTGGTTATTAGCTGGTTCAAGATGGTCATTAGCTGGTTCAAGCTGGTTATTAGCTGGTTTAAGATGGTCATTAGCTGGTTCAAGCTGGTTATTAGCTGGTTTAAGATGGTAATTAGCTGGTTCAAGATGGTTATTAGCTGGTTTAAGATGGTCATTAGCTGGTTCAAGATGGTCATTAGCTGGTTCAAGCTGGTCATTAGTTGGTTTAAGATGGTCATTAGTTGGTTTAAGATGGTCATTAGTTGGTTTAAGATGGTCATTACCTGGTTTAAGATGGTCATTAGTTGGTTTAAGATGGTCATTACCTGGTTTTAGCTGGTCATTACCTTCTGTAAGCTGGTTTAAAATGGTAATTAGCTGGTTAAGGTCATTAGCTGGTTTAAACTGGTCATTAGCCATTCACACTGGTCATTAGCTGTTGTAAGCAGGTTTAAAGTGGTCATTAGCTGGTTTAACCTGGTCATTAGCTGTTCAAGCTGGTCATTACTCTCTGTAAGCTAGTTTAAACTGGTCATTAGCTGTCCACACTGGTCATTATCTGTTCACACTGGTCATTAGCTGTTCACACTGGTCATTAGCTGGTGTAAGCAGGTTTAAGGTGGTCATTAGCTGGTTTAACCTGGTCATTAGCTGCTCAAGCTGGTCATTAGATGGCATAAGCAGGCTTTGGATGGCCATGAGCTGGTTCAAGCTGATCATCACCTATAGTGTGAGCTGGTTTAAGATGGTTATTGGCTGGTTTAAACTTGTCATTACCTACTGTAAGCTGGTTTAAGTTTGATTCAAACTGGTTATTACCTGTGAGCTTAATATGGTCATTAGCTAATTCAAGCTTGTCACCAAAATTGGTTTGGTCATTAACTTGTGTATGCTGGTCAATATTTGCTGTAAACTAGTGATTACCAGGTTCAAGCTAGTCACTAACTGGCGATTAGCTGGTTGCTAGTTTGTTATAGGCAAGGTTGTCAATTTAATAAGTTAACGTGATTATTATTAGTAGCATCAGTAAGTATTAGTCTTTGATTTTGTTATCTTAACTCAAGATGTAAAACGTTGAAAAACAGCAAGATGTCACAATATAGCATCAAAGATGTGAATTGACTGTATGACAGTCCTTGTTGCAGGTCCCACAGGTCAACTTGAGCCAGCTAATGATCAGTTTATACCAGTAAGAAGAATGTTCCAAATTTACATCTACCAGTTTAATCTAGATTTTCCAGCAGGGTGAGAATACTGTGTATTTATGCCTCCCTATGCTCTCATAAACAACCATTTGGAGATGGCGGCAAATATTTATCGGCATCAGTGATCACCTGCATGAGATGACTTAGGAATATGAGCAGTTTCACCAGCAGGAAAATCAGTGCAGCCAAACCCCCCTCGGCTCCTCACGAGCAAGAAAACAGTTTGAGGAATGATACGCATCTAAAGATACCAGGCTTCATTCATACTTGTCATAAACACAAACATTCAGAAGAGCCAGGCGTCAGATTTATTTACACAATCATTATTTCAATGGCAGTATAAAACAGAAAAATGTTTACTATGCTGCAGTTTAATCAATCTCAAGGATTTTATTGTTATCTTGTCCGCAAATAAAAAAATAAAAAAAGTGAGAAGTTTGAGAATCATGATTTAAAAAAAAAAAATCATTAGATGGTTCTTCTGGTCTGGGGTGAAATGACAGATGATTACACCACTGTAATGAGAGAACTGAGTGTGATACGTCTCAACCCAATTTATGGGGGTGTTAATTGAAATTTGTTATCAAGATCAATTTGGCAGCACTTAATATAATGAAAGTGATGAATTTGTCAAGGCTACACTCTATTTCAGAAAACAGAGCATGTTGATGTAATTTTTCTCTTTGCTAATGAAATTACAATATAATAAAAGGCTAGATTGAAATAAAAAAATGAAAAAAGAATACCAATGAAGCAAGTGGAATGACTAATGCCATTAATTCACAAACGTGACCTACAGGGGGCGCTTACCCTGTGAGCCACATTTAAATTTCAGGATGTTTTTGAGCTCATAGAGACAGCAGCTCCAAAAACATTAGCTCATCTGGAAAGCATTGCTGTTTAAATCCATGATTTGCAATGACTGATACCTTTCAAACAAATGAAAATCCAGCAAAGCTGTCTCTGTAAGATGAAAGCTTATCCTGTAACCACAACTTCAGTGCAAAGACAGGACAAATATGTAGCATACATTTTGTGTTCAGTAAGTACATTGTTTGTTTTTTACATCTTGTTGGTTTTGTGAAGTTGCACCAGATACCATGTGCAGATAACATGTGCGGTCCAAAGTTAACACAATGCCGAATGCAAAAAAAAAAAAAAAAAAAAAAACTCATTGTCAAAGGGACACAAATACATTCTAAATTAATTAAATTATTATTAAATTAAAATAAACAAATTATTTTACATAATTTAATTTGAATACTCTGTTTATTGAGATACAACAACTTATGCCAGTATAATAAAACAATATCATACATTAAAAAGTTAGATCTCTTTACATAAAAAAAAAAAAAAAAAAAAAAAAAAAAACACAGGCACAGATCAATTAAGATAGCTACACATTGAGAAGAGTTGGAAATAATCATGCAAGAGAAGCATATCATGATATGAGAGGGGGTAATTTAAGAAAAATAGTAAATGATTAAATGACTAATGATTTAGTAATAACATGCGAGTGAAAATAGGTTGAGAATCAAGTTGTCTTATTTCTTTCTACCTCATTCATTATATTACTAAAGTCAGAATTTGAAATAAAGGATATAAAGGGTTACCAAATAGTCTTAAAAAAAAGACAATTTACCTTTCAAAATATATGTAATCTTTTCCATCGACAAACAAAAGGGCATATTATTGATCCACTGTAAAATAGGTGGCTTTTCCACTTTCTTCCAATACATAGCATTAAACGCTTTGATTGAAGTATACACGTCAATGAATCTACGAGTGCTGCTACAATATACCATATTCTCAGGAAAAATCCCCAAAATAAAAATTTCTGGTCTCATTGGGAGATTGACAGATACCATCTGAGAAATTAGTAAAATTACCTCTTTCCAAAACTCCTGTACCTTAGGACAATTCCACATGCAGTGCAACAGTGTGCCTTTATCAGTTGAGCATTTAATGCATGTCTGGAAAATTCTGATTAATTTTATTTAACCTAACTGGAGTAAAATATGTTCTCATAATCCAGTTGTACTGTATTAATTAGAGATTTAATAGTTTGCGATTGAGCATTCATACATATATTTTCCCATATATCTAAGGAAATCTTCTCTCGAGAAGAACAATTTGGATTCTGAAGATTCTTTAGAGTATGACTCTAACAATTTATAAAACATTGGTATTAAGCCTTTAGATTGGGAAGACTTTGATAGTCTTCACAAAAGAAGTCTTAGGGTGCTTTCACACCTAGATCGATTTGTTTTGTTCCGGAACAGATCCGAAACAGAATACTTTGTTCCGAATCAATTTAATAGTCACTCTGTTCACACCACACTGTTGTAAAGCGGTCCAAATCGCGCACCCTTCCAGGGCTTTCCTTACGCCATTACGTCACTACCTCATGCGTTCAGGTCGCGCATTCCATTGTGGGACATCGCCATGACAACAATAGCCGAATTGTTGACACAAAACGAATCGCGGGTTGACTTGGTGCTACGAAGAGGTGAAATGCTTCATAGATATTTGGTCGGAAGAACACATCTCCCGGATGTTGGACACTACACACAAGAACACCGAAGTGTACAAGAAGATCAGCTATAAAATGAAAGAGAGGGGTTATGAACGGTCCTTCGAGCAGTGCCGCGCAAAGGCGAAAAAACTCCGACAGCAGCAGTACATAAAGGTACGAGACCACCTTGCCAAAAGTTGATTTGTTCCGGTTCGTGGGTCGGTTGTGTTCTCACTACAAACAAACCGCTCCAGGGTTCGTATGGAATCGAGCCGAGACCACCTCTTCTAGTCGGTCTCGGCTCGGCTCTGACCAAACGAACCGGGCCAAAAGGGAAACGCCCCTTTGTTTCGGAACAACGTCTCCAATCGATCCAGGTGTGAAAGCACCCTTAGTGTCACACCTCAGCGGACTACACTTCCCAGCATCCCTCATGTTCACCACCTGCACACCATCGGCCATCACCTGATCACCTGCGTGTCATTATTCACCATGGACACTAATGTTCCTCACAGCTGTCTGTCATTGTCTCGTCATCACCTTTTGTATTTAGTTCCCTTCTGTTCAGTCAGTCTTGGTCCGTTCTCATTAATGTTTACGTTGTATTTGGTGTGTGTGAGTCTTCAAAGAAAATAGTATAAAGTATGCTGCCCAATAATAACACTGTAAGTTAGGAAATTGGAGACCACCTTTATTGTACGGTAAATATAACAATGACAGTCAAACACGCACTCACATTTATTGTTCCAGATGAAATCAGAGAATAGTTTCCGAAGCAACGTAAAAAAGGAGGATGGAGGACACTGAGGAATATTTTGAATATTTTATTATTTTAGGTAATACCGTCATTTTTATTGCATTAATATGTCCAATTAACGATATTGGTAGACTTCTCCATCTGTCTATGAATTTGGAGATGTCATTTAAAAGGGGTTGGTAATTTACCGAAGATATATAATCTATATTAGCTGTGATTTTAATTCCTAAATAAGTGAAGGAGTCTACTACCTTAAAATGATCAAGAGCTGATAGTTGACACTCATCCTTATTCAATAAAAGAATACAAGATTTAGATTGATTGACTTTATAGCCAGAGAAGTTACCAAAAGTTGAAAAAAGTTTTATTAGGGAAGGGATGGAGTGAGCCAAATCTGTTAGGTATAATATGACATCGTCTGCGTATAAAGAAACACTTGTATCTGCGGTATTTAATCTGATGCCCTGTATGTTACCATGAGACCTTACTGCTATGGCAAATGGCTCGATTGCTAAGACAAAATAAAAGAGGTGATAGGGGGCACCCTTGACGAGTGCCCGTTTGAATATTAAATGTCCTGGAAACTATACTATTAGTAAGTACTTCAGCCATAGGACGCGTGTAAAGTATCTCAATCCATTTATAAAAAAAATCCCCAAACCCAAATCTTTTCAGGACCTCAAATAGATAGGGCCATTCCACCGAAGGCCTTTTCAGCGTCCAGAGATAGAATGGCCATATCAGAAGCTTCCTTTTTAAGATATAAAATGTTAAGCAAAGTTCTAACATTATGAAGACCTTCCCAACCCTTAATAAATCCGTTTTGGTCTCGATATATTATATCGGGTAAAAGGGCCTCTAACCTCCTTGCCAGAATTTTACTTAATATTTTACATTATTTCAATAATTATAATAATATTAACTTTTTTTAGATGGCATCATAGTAGGGCTGGGCGATAAAACGCTAACGATAATCATCACGATATATTTTTCCTCTATATCGAATACTTAGCGAATTTTTGTTATAATTTTATAATGTTAAAACACTATGCAAATAAATGCTGCGCATACTTGTTGCAGACTGTCGCACTGGTGGTGACCATAACTGATAAGCGCTGGCATTTCTGTTGCGTATGAGAAACATTAAATGGCAAAAGCGCCAAAAGCGGAACGAAACAGAGGTGCTCCTTTAAACCATGCGCCACACGGAACATTTAACACACCGCAGCGTGAGCTTAGAGCGAAAGCATTTACTCGCTGAGAACGCTGACCAACTCAATCATGCGACCAGTAAACACTGCTGTGAGATCCATAGAGAAGCATTTGAGTTCGGTGCTCTCCCATACAAACCACAAATCAAATCCCTCGGGATTTAAACTAGTTGAAAGCCCGATGAAACAGCGCAGACTTTCTCAACAATACTGATGCGGAAAACAGGAGAAACCCTGAGCCAAAACGATAGAAAGCTTTTCAATCGATGTTGCCAACATTTACCATGATTTACTCTAGTAACATTAACTGAGACCATGGAATTGTGGCAGAAATGTGGGATATTTTCTTATAGATTTTTCTTCTATTATTAATGTAGACATTGAAGGAGTAACGTAATATAATTCCAGTATTTTTTTGTTTTTAAGCTATAGCAGTTTTTGTGCATTTGTATTTATGTCTTTAGGCTACTGTTTTTCATAACAAATACCCTACGTCACAATTCGGTACGAGTCTGGTACATTTACTTGTCCGACCCCCTGTGTTCTCCCAAATAACCCATCATGGGAAGTGTGGCAAGCAGGACGAGGCCGAAGGCCGTGAGAATCTCAAGGATGCATAAAAGGAGGAGCAACGACAGTGAAGGACGAGAGAGGACCAGGCCTGGCCTATTTTGTGTTATGTTTTGTTTATGTTTGAGCGGAAGTCGTCTGTGAGGGGCTGCCACTTTTACTTTTGTTGTGTTAAATAAATAACACTGCGTTTTGGACCCTGGTAACAACTGCCCTGATTGACATAATAACAAGTGAAGTGAAACTACATATTAAAAGGATAAAGTATTGAAGACATAGGGTTGTCAAACTCAGTTCCTGGAGGGCCACTAGCAGAGTTCAGCTCCAATCCTAAATAAAAACACACCTGATCCAGCTAATCAAGTTCTTCAGGATTACTAGAAACTTCCAGGCAGGTGTTTTGTAACTGACTGAAGATACATTCTACAAGACAGTTTGACTCATGTTCAATCCACATGTATTTGTACAGCGCTTTTCACAATACATAGTTTCCACATTAGAATTTAGAGTGATCTGTTATCAGAGGTAGCTCTCTAAGTTAAATATACATATACAAATCACAGTTTGCAAAAAAATATAATTTAAACAATGTAATAATTTAAGGCAGAAACAATGAGCTCATTGAAGTAATACATAATTGTTTGTTAACAAATAATTATGATATATATAAAATTGTAGCATTAGTGCATGTTGATTCAGAGTTTGCTTCATCTGTACTGAAGTCCTTGCATGAAGTCCTCATGTGACCTAGACTGCTGTTTGTCTCAATTTATATATAGCCATAAACATCACGTTGGGAGAAATACTGTGCTTGATTAAACAGGGCACAGTATCAGTTCTCTGTTCAGTTTTAGTGAACACAAGGGTGGCATAATAGTGGATATCTGTGCAAATCATGGAAATGATTTGTGTGGGATGGATAGCTGACCTTGACTTTCAAAAAAAGTTGTGTCAGCCAATTTCTTTTAATTGTACCGGGATCTTTCCGAATATATATTGCAATCTTGCACTGCATATTAATCACTCCAGTGATGCAAAAAAGCTTAGAACCACGTTTCCTCAGTATGAAAAGAAACGTTTAATAGATAAAACTGTCAATTTTATACTGAGCTTAGCAAATGTTCCAGCTTTAATAAAGATTGGGCTACAAAAAAAAAACAGTTATAAGGATGAAAATCCCATTAGGCTTCAGCATCATATATATTCAGAATCATATAAATAACTGCTGTCTTAGCTGATATCTACTCCATTGGATGATATCTATGTGGAATGTAACAGTGCAGTGTCAACTTACAGTACGGGCACCCGTAGATCTCGAACCTGAGGCCGATCCGTCCCTCTTCACTCCAGTCTAAAGGAATGATGCGCAAATAACGGGCCACGATCGGGTTTTGCAGGTCATGCCGAACCACACTCTCAGTATTGGAGTTACCTGCAAACGCCTGCAAGACAGGTGCGACATATGTTACTTCACTTTTTAAACTTAAAACCTAGCTGTATCTCACATAAATCAAACTCTTCTGCAAACACTTAACCATAAACCATAAACAAAGAAACTTACAATAATCACTCCTATTTAAAATAATTAAAATAAATATGTGTATTTGTTAATAATAATAACGTTCTCTTTATATCTTCTATATACTTGTGTAGACATTTTGTATTACAAATATTGCAGCTCTTGCGATAAAATGCTGCTTAATTTCCCTTTCTTCCTTTGTGCTAATATTCAGCACCACCGATATTGATTGAGACATTGAATATTTTTACTATTATTTACATTGTTAGTGTCACTTCCTCGCCATTTCTTCTGTGAAACAGTTTGGACAGATTTGTCTCATATCTAGTCAAGAGTGGTTTTGAGAGATCTTCATGAAACTCTCTCTATTGTCCAGTTTGAGAAGCTGTATCACCAGACCAAAAAAAAAAATCGAGGCGACATGTAGGTGGAATCAAGTTGCATGGCTCTGTGGTTCACGTTGACCCTACGCAGCTTCTTGTGTCACGCAGAGCAAGAAATTGATGCAGTGGTCCATTGAGTGGTGGGGAACTTCAGTTACCATACAGACCATGTGGGATTGGGTGATAAGCAGCTCAAAGCCACCAAACTGGAATGATGCGGATTATAGTACTTGCCCCCATCCCCCTCCCTCCACTAAAGAAACCACCATTATATGGACTTTATTGTGCAACTGGGGATTTCTTGTCAGGAACATGCTGAACATGTCAATATTGGAGGCACCATACGGTGGTCCAATGTTTGAAGTGCTGATTACTGTGCTCTGTAGTGGCCAACTGGGGAGTGTTTACTTCATTTTTCATTGAGAAGAGAGAAAACTGAGTTGTTGTGAGGTTTCAGGTGACAGTGTTTTATGGGTGGACCTCCTGGGCACAATGAGTATAGGCTATAGTACAGAACAGGGGTTTTCATACTGGGGTCCACTAGGGGTGCTACGGAACAATTGAGAGAACTTTACAATATTGTTTAAAAAAAATTAAAAATATTACAAAGTGTATTATACATGTATTGCAAAATGTAAAATATTAATATTCATAAATATAAATAAAAAATGTTTTTAGAAATGAATAATTTTCACACAATAAAAGTTTTAGAACCATATTTATTGTGAAAAGTGTTAAACAAATACAGTACATTAGGATTTTATTGAAAGAGTTTCAGGGTTATTATAGTTAACTAGGTTACACTTTATTTTAAGGTGTCCGTGTTACAGTGTAATTATAAGTGAAGTACTGAGTAATAATAATTAACTACATTTACTATAGGGATAGGGTTAGGATTATTGTTTGGATTATTACTTGTTTAATAAACCTTGGATTATTATCATCTTCATCATATTCGTCTTCTTTGGATCTAGCGTTAAACATACTTTAAAGGCACACTGTGGAATTTTTGGCCACTAGGGTGCGCTCGACCTGTAATTTTCACGTCTAGTGCCCCTAGAGGCCACAAGCGCCGCAGCATTGTCGCAAAAGTCAACAAACAGTCAACCGGTCAACCTGCAGTGTCTTTATGTGTGTGCAGACGGCATTTGATTTGTATGTTGGAGAAAGTTAATCGATTCACTACTGACCAAAATAATAATATAAATATAAGATTAATAATATAAATCCTATAAAGAAAACAAATTAAATAAAAGTAGCATACGCAGAAAACAATGTCTGATCAGGTAAGTCGCATTGACAAGGGTTGCCCAATCCTGCTCCTGCCGATCGTCTGTCCTGCACAGTTCATCTCCAACCCTAATCAAACACACCTGAAGCAAACAATTAACGTCTTCAGGATATCTTTGCAATGGGTTGGAGATGAAATCGAGTAGTCGGGAAATCGTGTAACAAAACTGATATAACTCACTACATATTTCCGTTATTTGTAGTCTTCAGTTTGTTTTTCCTTTTACACAAATACAAACATATATGAGCTGAAAGGAAAAAAAAAAAACATTTACATTTGTACACGGCAGTATGTTGTGACTTATATCAGTTTTGTTACACGAATTCGCAGTAAATATTACATTATATATACACTTTTATGCCGATGTTTATTTTAAACTCTCCCTTTTTCTTTTTTTGGTCTCCTCTGACAAAATCTTTGCTTTCTTCGCTTTCTTCCGAGTAGCTGTTGATTCAGTCATGACGACAACATATACCCCTTTTCCACCAAAAAAGAACTGGTTCGGAACTGGTGCTGGTTCAAAGTTGGTTCTGAGTTGGTTCAACTTGCGAACCTTCTCAGAACCTGTTTGTTTTTCCACTGACTAGAGCGCCCAGCGAACGATGTCGTTACGTCACTGTGTACGTCGCCATACGTCTTAGCTAGAAACGCTTGCAAGTAGGCTGCAACATTACTTTGGGATTATCTCTAACTCGTGTACAAAGAAGGCTTTAAAAACAATTGAAATATGTAAGTCTTTTAATATTTTCCTTTGTTATTTAATCTTTTCTGATTAGTTATGCACCCCTGTCCGTTTATTTGTTCTATATGACTGTTTTCTTCTTTGCTTACATAATGTTTTCAATAAAAAAATTAATTAAAAAAACTAGAAACGCTTGCGCCAACTTCAAGCATAACAATTACAATGGTGGACTAGGCTACATCGTGTTTCTGCAAATGTTTGTCCTGGCTTTGCGATCCTATATTATGGTCAGAAAAGATATTTAGAACACATTTAAACCCGCCCTCAGTCCCCGACGTAAGCATGACGTGGTAAAAGAACGGTTCTAGTCCAGCAAAGAGTTGGTGCCGCTTTGGAACCAGTTTTCCTGGCCGAGAACCGGTTCTTTGGCTGTCGAAACACAAAGAACTGGTTCGCGCGCAGGCACCGGCTCCGAACCGGCTCTCAAAATGCTTCGGTGGAAAAGGGGCTATACAGACGCCGGCAATCAAACGCGAGTTGAGCTCTCACGTTAGAATTTGAGGAAGTTGGGGTGGTGGGGGAAGTGACGTATGCCGTAAAGCGGTCGAATTTTGTAGTTCTTTTTGTGCTCGGGTTACTACCCGAAACCCGAAGTTACATAGTGCTGGTAAAAGCGATACAGACACCTTCAGGCTTCGGCAGACGTGTCATTCAACCTATTGTAAGTCGATGTACCATCTCAATGGGGTTTGGTAATATATTATAAAGGTTGAAAAGTTCCACAGTGTGCCTTTAAGTTGGATTTTTTTTCTATAGTGATTTCTCATTTTAAATTAGTTTAGGATGCACTAAAACTGGGGTAAAAAAAGTACAAAATTGCTAAAACTTTGAAATGAAAATGAAAACAGAAAAAATATAAAAATGCAAACTGAAAAATGTGAATAAAAACTACAATACTATCTAAATGACTCTAAAATAACACTGACGTATTTCTCTAATATTGTAATATTATATTAAAAACTACAAATAAATCTCAGAAATAAAATAAAAAAAGTAAACTCCAACAATCTCCCTGACTGTGTATGAACTGTTTTTGCTCTCACTACATTTATTTGGCCTAACAGACACAAAATTAACATCTTAAATGTCCGCTGACCTATTTTTTACTTCCATTGTGTTTAGAAAAGCGGATTAATCCTCATAAATCTGCATTACTTCACCCGGCACAAACCAGGCTAAAAGTTCTGCCTTCCTAACCAGAATGACTCAATTTTGTCGCAGTTCATTCCAGATTCAGACCTTAAACAGTCAGCGAGTGTGTAATTAGTTAGCCAAATGTTTAGCCACCCTGAGAGCTTTGCTGCCTGGCATGTTGTTTAATCAAGCACCTTTACAATTTAAAGCACAAAGGCTTGACGGAGATAGAGGCTGTCTTTCATTAGTGGAGAGTTCGGGTTTAGGAAGGAAGCCAGCTGTAACTATCATAAGCGGCACATTCACTGGTTTCCCATAGAATAATTAAAGTTGCTTTTACTTATTTTGTGTTAAAGCTCCTGGGCCTCTTCGTCCTTTAGCTTCAAACAGCCATCTGCTCTTTGCACATTTCTCACTCTGAGAATGACGGACACTGTTCTGAACTTTTCTGTACATGCAGGTTGACCAGGCGCTCCAACCATCATAACAAGAATAAAACATGCTGATGGTTGTTCATGTTCGATGATGATCTTTTTCTTCACTTGAAATTTTAAGATTTATGCGGCAGGTTTGACCAGTATAACATCCTTCCAAGAAAGTCTAATATATAGCTGTATAATACTGGTCTGGCAGATTTGTGGATGCCTGCCAAATAAAACATTCAAGTCTTGCAATTGTTATCAGTGTTGTTTTATGTATAGCCATTATTTTGTTACATCAAGAAATTGATTTTGTAATATTTTACCCTTAGAGTATGGGAACTGAAAAATATTTTCTGGTATCTTTCCTATTGACAATCATAAGAACAATCTATTAAAGCTAAGTACATGACCAAAGCAATCTGAGATGGTCCTAAATCAAAATTATAGTGAATCACGCAGCTGTCACACATTGTGATCCAACGCATTAATCTGTTTGACGTTCATTTCACACTTTGAATGGCTAATTACTATGCTAACACAGGTGCAGAGTTTGTTGTGGTCTCAACTGATAAATTAACTTCTGTAAAATTGCACAGCACTGCTGTCCCCACCACTTATTAAATAATTTAGTTGTAAAAGTTACAACATTTTAGTTATATATTTTATTAATATATATAAAAAATGTTTTAAATAAAATATAAACATATTAACTAAATAATTATTAAAAACCAATAATAATGACAATGTTAATAATAATTAGCCTATTGCCTTTTATTTGTCATTGTACTGAAGCCACTCTAGAGGGTGCAGGCTGATCCCTTGGTCCTTTACATGCAATCACATAAATAACGCATGGCACAAGCTAATTGGCCTCTGCAAATCCTGCAGCCTATGAGATTACTTGCTAAACATTTAAATAGTCTGGTTCATTGTTTGCTGTAAGCCAGTCCT